GGGGTGGGGATGCCCATGCCCTCCTTCTGGATCCGGCTATGGTAGTCATGTAACCAACCAGTATGTTACTTTTGATCAATCAGCAGTATGCATGACTGATCATCATCTTCCGGTAAACACGCACACTGCTCGTAGATATGTTATCATTTTCTTGAGAGGCCGGAGCCCTTGCAAAAGTAGAAAATGACATATGAAAACTTTGTGTTTCAGTGTTAAATATTTTACACCACAACATACATATTTGATGTCATCAAAGCAGTTTAAACTTAAATATTATTATATAAAAAACAGTAAATTTGTGCTAACATCTATATATTTTATTTCCACCTGCATTTCACTTTTTAAATAATTTGTAAAATGTGTTTTTAACATCTGTTTATATCCCTTGAGTACAATGATGATCATATTTGCATTAATTTTTATGATTTAAACAGGTACAGAAGTACTAAACCACATACAGTTCACAGCAGAGCTAGATCAACAATTTGTGGAAAACTATGCAGATGATCCTACATTAACTTGGCAGTATTTTGGAAGTAAAACAGGTTTCTTTAGGAATTTTCCAGGTAATATGGAAATATATTCATCTTGGGTCTTATAAGTTAGAATTTACAGATACAATAGAACCCCTCCTTTGGGACATCCTTATCCTTATCTTAAGTGGAGACCTCTATAATTCTTTTGAAAACAAAACAAATGAAAGTATACCTTCTGACACTATAGCCATGTCCTATTCAGTGGACACCCTATTAAGGTGACACTTTTTTGGTCCTGAATGTTTCCCCTTAATAGGGGTTCTACTGTAACTTATTGGTTATTTGGATATCAGTTATATCAGCTTGTTTTGGTATTAACATTACTGTAATGATTCTGCTGTTCAAAGATTTACAGTCATCTAATTAAAAGCAACATTATGTTTGTTACTATAATACTGTAATTATTATTATTTTAGACCTGGCACTGGTAGTTATTTATTTCTGCACATTTTAAAAATCAGATTGCATTGATTTTTTTTTTTTTTGCAGGTATCAAATGGAACATTGGAGAGGATCCGTTTGACACATTTGACTGCCGCAAACGAGGGTGGTGAGTACTTACCTTGAAGCCCTCTCAACACTATCAAATCTTATTTGATATGCCTGAATATGGTCATGATGACATCACATTATGACCATATATAAGCATATCATTACAACATATGGGCATACCTCAGTCTTGATAGTCTGGAGCGAGCTTTATTTAGATGGAGCAAATCACAGAAATTTAAATTGAAAATTATGTTTAAAAAACTAAATTTCTAATTATTATGATAATGATATTGTTGATTTGGTATTACCCAGATGAAATTCTTTGGGAATAATGATAATGATAGTGATAATATTATATTTAATATCGCTGCATGGCTAGAGGTCTGCCATCTAGTCCCGGTTCCATTGTCATTCAGGACTCCAGATCTGGCAGTAGATTATTACCAATCTTGAAGCGAAGCTTGTCTGTTGAGCGATTTGATTTTTTCTGTTCACCAATTCGACTATTGCAAATTAAGTATTTTGCATTTGCAGTGGCTACTTTTCATTATGGTGTTCAAAATCAAGCAATTTCAGTTCAAAACTGTCATTGCATTTTTAGGGAGACGATTCTCAAGAAATCATATAATATGTCAAAAGTTCCAAATAAATTTGTATATAGATTTTATTGTTTATGACTGATAACATTCATTTTATGCAATAAAGTTCTTTAGAAGAGAACAACAAAACATCTATTATTCAAGACAATAATATTTATTTTACACCTGGTGTTCTGGCTCTTGCCTCATGAAATATTAATAATGGTGATATATTTTGCAATTATGGTTGAAAAAGAAATGGGGTAAACTTGAAAATGCTTTTCTTACAAAAATATTATAAAAGTATGGAATATACAATATATAGATAAGAATAAAAGTAACAAAACAGCCATGGTTACTCTGACAACAAATTTATTGATGAGCAAGTTATGAATGCATTAACCAACTCCCCCGTAAAACAATGTTTGATGTTCTCGTGGTACTGCAGTCAGCAAAATGTGATTTTAGATAGAAAAAAATAATGCAAATTAGGTGAGATTTCTACTGACTTTTTAATACATTTCTAGCATACAGGCCCAGATCCCAGTATAACATGGTGCTAAGTACTCTTGGCTTGATCTCCAGGAATTAACATGCAGCCAACATGTGTGTAGGCATATCCTATGGTGTATACTAGATTTTGAGATTAGGAAACATCAGATCTGGTACAGAATAAACAGTGTTCTAAACATCTCAAGATAAACAAATCTGCTACTAGATATTTAATCCTGAACGACAGCAGATCTGGTATCGGACTACTAGCCTACATTTATGTTGCACATTTTCGATTTTCCTCTGAATATGTCGCATCATCTAAGGGACTCTCCATCTACTAAATATAGAGTCCTTACCATCTTGAAATAAACTTGATTAAATACCAAGTAAAAAATGTACTTGCAATTAATAGTATATTTTAAAATATTTTGGTTAATAACCTGTATGCTTACTTTATTTAGTTATATTTTGTAAATTTAAACTCTTCACTCACAATAATTACCATATTATTCAAATAAATGTCCTGGTACGTTTATTGCTGAGAAGGATTTTAGATAGGCTGATTTGAGGGAGGCGTTTATTCGAGGGAGGCCTATACTAAAAAATATGTCCCTTAATTTCACTGTAAATGTGAAACTGCAAAACATAATTACTGTCGGCATGTGTTATTGTATGATTATAAAATCTTACTCTATTGATCCCAACCAGGTTTGAAAATAATGTAATTTTACTGGGGTAGAACATTAACAGAATGTGCCAAGAATAATGTTGCTTCCATTAGATTTATTTACAGTCATTTCGGGGTGGGGGGAGGGTGGTGGGGAGTTTATTATAAAATAAGTGCCTCGGAGAGTTTATTCGAGGGAGTAATTTATTCAATATGAGACTCTAGAAGGGCATTTATTCAAAGCAGGGCATTAAATTCTAATAAATACGGTATGTGATAATTGTGTGAGGAATATCAATGCCCTCAAAAGGTACAATTGCAGTATGCAACCGCAAAATTATAAAATGTTATAAATTATACAGTATTTAATTTTCATCTCATCAGGTACATATCGGCTGCAACATCACCAAAAGATATTGTTATCTTAATCGATAAAAGTGGCAGCATGCTGGGAATTTTATTGGAGATTGCAAAACATACGGCTCGAGTGATTATTGATACCCTCGGGGATGATGATTTCTTCAACGTGTTAGCTGTAAGTATTGATTGACGCCAATCAAATCTTTAGTGTTTTGTATAGAATCACTTGGTTTGTAAGCTACATAATTGTATAATCATTTTAAATAGTGATTTGAATGTTTTAATGACAGTTAATTATCCCCCACCCCACCCATTTGCTCCTTAAGAATACCAGTTTTTGGTTGCTATTTACAATTTCATCCTGATCACCATTTTCAATTAATAAGCCAATTTGTAGTTTAAATACATGTAACATAGGCTTATGTTGATTGATCTTGGATACGGACATGCACAGTTAAAACTACCAATTGGTTTGTTTTTACACTAAGGTTTCTAGTGGAAAGAAATAGTCGATTAAAAATCGCTTTTTCAAAAAATCGCTTTTATTCTCGCAGTAGATACGGGACCAGTTTGAAAAAAGCAATTAAAAAAATCGATCAAAAACATGCAATGGATAGCGTGTTTGAACGGCAAATAACCGATTTTGGCTGTGCACCTTTTAGCTGCAACACAAAAAAGCGATTATCAGGTGAAATTTGACCTCCAGGTCATTCACTGCAAAGCCTAGATCATTTTAGGCGCAAACTTCAACAAAATTTGTCTTCTTGTTCATGTCCTAGGCCTACAAGCTAAAAACGTCAACAAAGATGTGGAGCGACGAATTTTTTTTGTAATTATTTTGTGGGGGGATGTTGGGCCTAGGCCTCTCCGTTCTTTTGGGCCTACCGTTGTCCTCATTTGGTCTCTCGTTCATTGTGCTGATGAGCATAGCCGAAAACATTTGCCTTCTCGCCCCACACCGTATCTTACTCCTCGTCATCATGACAGAAATGAAAAAGATACTATCCTATACAGTTAGGAAAACAACGTGTGGTATAAACAAAATGGTGACATATTTTCCTTCACGAAAATCAATTTTAGAAAAATAAAAAATGTAGTTGCAACGCAAGCAGGCTGTCTGGTACTCATTAAAAAAGCGATTTAAAAAAAAACTCGATTAATTTGTGTTTATCAGTAGAAACACACCCATATTGATTCAAATGTACAGTACGATTGTGATTGTCTGGTAACAAAATAAAATATTATAGAATAAAAATACATTGTTTGTAAAATGTTTTGTTTTTTTTCAGTGTAAACTGAAATCTGTATTTTTGTATTTGTTTGCAACATTATTTTGTTTCACTATTATTTATGCTGGTTTATTTTGCAAGAAGGGGTGCGAGAAATTGTAGATCTTAATGAAGTTTTTGTACGTTATTTAGTAATTAAAGACTATAAACTGTTATGGTTTTATCTTATTTAGACAAATGCACTTAATAATTATATATCAGATCTAATCAAATACCAACTTTAGATCCCATGCTAATTAACTGTTCCCATCGATCAATGTTGAACATTTTCTTATAAAATTTTATTGGTTAGAAATTCTAAATACACTGGGTTCCACACCCTAATTTTGGGTTACTCACTCTTTATTGCACTTAGTGTGCGCCATACCTAATTTAATTGGCATTCCATACTCAATTTCTTTTTTTTTTCGTTTTTTTAAATTTTTTTTATTCTGTCTCTAACTTTCTTGTTGGTAGCACTGTTCAGAATGAGAAAAATAATAGAAAATAAGAAAACTTTAATTTAAATCTTATTAAATAATTTCCAAAAATTTATTAATCAGTATATTTAATTTTTAATAATTTAAATCAGTGGTGAATATTATTTGTATATTGTCTATGCACCAAAATCAGTTACAGTATTTTAATTGTGATTCATCATTTAATATAATATATACTGTATACTCTTAGTCAAATTAATTGATTTAAAAAATAATGCTTCGATCATCTTTTATTAATATAATAATAAATTTAATGTGGCTGTTATAATTGTTCATATCTTCATTATTAATAATAATAACAATGTGTTGGTGCATGTTGGTCCTGGTCAGTACTCACCACTCTCTGCTTCAGGTAAAGAAAGAATACATTTGAACAACCTGCTTTGGTCTGTTCAGCTGGTCTAAATCTTATGCTGATAACATAATAGTCATTTCAACTAATCATGGATAGACAATACAGGATGGTTATATTTTCAGCATACACAGCAGGCTCACAAAAATTATGATATGAACTCTGCTATTTTAGAATTGTTTATTAATTTAGATATGGTTCTCATAAAGGAAGTAAAGGAAACCAGATTTATAGATGTCTGTCTATAAACATATCTTCCTCATTTGCATAATGAGACATAACGCTTGAAGTGATGAAGTTTTTTTGTTACTTTAGAGGGCTACGTTGCTGACATCACAACATTATGTGCCACTCCCTCATTACTGTGCAGCGCTACCCTCAAGCGCTCAATAAGGCTGACATAACATCTAATTATACCTTCTTTACAACATTTTGTTTTTTTTTTTCTATTGTAAACTTAAATTGACAATTATATTACATGGATAATGGATAATTAATTAATATATGCTCCATTTTGTGTTTTTATTAGGTTATATTAGGAAATTATTATGTTGTTATTGTCAATTGTAAAAAATATGATAAACTGTGGCAGCTGTGGAGGCAGTATGTAGTGAACGCTTTGTATTTTGTTGCTCATTAATGAAATCTCCTGTGGTATTGTGTCATAATACAGTCTCAAAAAAAGCTGATGTTGATAAATATGATAAACTGTGCCAGCTGTGGAGGCACCATGTTGTAAGTGTAGGACAAAACCACCTGGACAAAAAACACCTAAAATGGAATATACCATGGTGGGCTTGTTTTTATCTAGTTGGATCGTGGGCGTTGATTGGTGGGGGACATGTTTCCCCACTTTTCAAAGTAGGGGAGACATCATATCAATTGTCCCACCACTTTTCACCAATATTCTATAGTAAAAAAACCCCATTTCATTAATGCAATGTATTAATTATAGTGAAAATTCAATCAAGGGATACAAAGATGAATGAGTTTTTTTATTTAAATTATTGTTATGAAAGGGAACTATTTAATTTAATTGAAAGTAATTTTTATAGGAAGTAGGGACAAGTAATTTTAAAAATTCAGATAGCGTACTAAAATATTAGACAAATAGTGTAAAAACCTTTAAATTGAAGCCCTGGCCTCCTTTTTTTTTGCAAACTTTGTGTTGGTTTCTTTTTGAGATGGGCTTCTTTTTAAGATGAGCTTTTTTTCGAGGCTACTTTTGCAAAGTAATGAGAGAGGCTTCTTTTCAAAATGAATGCTGTAAATTTTGGGAAGTTGTACTATAAAACAATAAATAAGGCCAAGGCTGTAACATCAATCTGTATCATGGAGTGTATTTAACTGGCATTAAATGACCTAAACTACTGTATAAACTGAACTTGTTTTTAATTTATTTTGTTTTTTGAAATTCATGTACAGTGTATGTGCTGTAAGCCTATGCTATCTTGAAAAGAAGCCCATGTGTTTCTACAAACTAAAGAGGGGGATTCAATTCGAGATGGGCTTCATCTCGAGACTTATTTCAAGGTTTTTGTGGTACCATAAAAATTACAATATTGTTGAGTTAAAAACATGTAAATATAGCAAACTTTAAGCACAATGATTGCTGAAATGTACAGTACTACCTAATACCCTACATGCATGTTGTCAAAAGAATTGAATAAATTACATTTTAAACTATCCTATTGTAAAGCTAGATAGAAACAAGCCCATTCAACATTGTCCACCTAACTTTAACAATGGTATATTCCATTTTGGGGGTTTTCGTCTGGTGGTTTATTGTCCTGGGTGGTTTTTGTCTGATTTCCTTTCCCTATGTAGTGGCCATTTTGTAAGTAGTTGTTCAGTACTCTCTCTTGTGGTATAGTGATGTAATACAGTAATCTTAAAAAAAGCTAACATTTTTGTGTTAAAGGTGATGGCACTCTATGATATCATGAGCAGAACCTCAAACTTTTTTTGAGTGTTTATTATTATTTTTTTTCCTTTCATGAAAAATATTTTTTAAGAGATTGTCTAAGAGAATATATATAATTTCAATTAGTTATTGTTGTAATATATGTTTGAAAGAAAAATAAATTTTAGTGAATTTGGTTTTATATTCAATTTGGTTTTATATTATATTTTATATTTTATATTTTGGTTTTATATTTAAGTAATATTTTTAGGTAGTTCTAGTTCTAGTTGTCCCCGACCTAGATCGTAGGGGCCTATATGCTGA